AATTGAGAAAAGATGTATACTAATTGAAAAAGCATTTAATCGATTTTTAATTTCATTAAAACTAAAATAGAAACAAATGGCAGAACCTTTGAGGTATTAAATTTTTTTTGAACAGAATCTTTAGTGTATTGAATAAAGAATTATTTGGCGTGTAGTAATTATTTTAAATACTCCCTCAGTTTGAGTGTATTTGTGCAGTTTGACTTTTTCGAGTCAAACTAAAAAAACTTTGAGCTTCAATTAAATAAAAATCGTAATGTATTTTAACATAAAAATAAATTTATTGGATTTATTGTATTGAGAACTTTCAAAATTGTATTTAAATATGCTACTATGCAATATAAATTGAGAGTAATTGGAATTCAAAGTTTGTCCACTTTGACTCAAAAAAGTCAAATTAGACAAATGCACTGGCACGGGGATAGTAAATAGTTATTTCATTAAATTCTAAAATAGAACCAAAAAATAATTAAATGATTGAAATAAGTATTGGAGATATTTTGGGGAAGGGAAAAACTTCAAAAAATGACCTTAAATAAGACTAAAATATAAAAAAAATATCAAAAATAGAAGTTCTATGTTTTTATTTTCTAAATAAGAGTTCGCGTTGTAGTAATGTGTCACTGTATATATGCATTTTACGTAATGTATATGGTCATAATTGGTAATGTAAATGTATTATAACCCCTATTTCAGTAATAAAAACATGAAACTCCTATTTTGATATATTTTCAATGTTTTACTTATACTTCAGTCTTTTTTCCAAAAACTTCCCAGAGCTCCAAATAAATTATTATGTATTTTTTATTCAAAAATGACAAATAAATATCTTTGAGAATGTTATTGTTTAAATACACAGTGTGCCCATATAGTCGTTTGTTTTAAACTACAGAAGAAATCTTGAATATAGGTATTGTGATTAGTAACGTTATTGTCGGAATAAGGAATATGATAAGGCGAGGATGATAGACCTTGGAATAAAGTATGCTTGAGTTTAGTTCGGAGTATTTTCTAAATATTCCCAACTAGTTTAAAGGGATGTTGTTTCTCAATGATTTTGAGTAGTTGAAAAATATTGAAATTGGATGACACTAAAATCACCAATATTTATGTATAAATCTAGGGAAGAGAAGACTAAGAAGAAAATTTGAATCAAGTGAAACAAAAACGAAAGAAAAAGCTAAATCAAAATTTATTTTTCTCTTTTTTGGTTGAGAAGAAAAGTGATAAAAATAGAAAATATTATAGTAAAATGACTTGTAAGCGTTACGTTATAATAGAAAATTCTTCCCCTCCCAAAAATCTTTTCACATTTTGACTATTTAAATACACTTTCTACCTACTTTAATCATTAATAGATACAATTGCATAAAAATAAATGTTATAGAAGTTTGATATATTAAAGCTCTACCTTAAAATTATTTTAATTATAATAAACTTACAATATAACTAAATATATTTTTTCACAATTTATAATTAAAATGTGTAGAAAATTAACTAGAAAAATCAAATTGTCAAAAAGTTAGGCCATGTTCTTTTGGGTTGAAATTTTAGAATTGGAAGTTAAAAAAACTGAAAGGAATTAAAAAATTGGAAAAGTTAGAAAATGTTAAAAAATTAAAAGTTAAAAAATCACTCAATTAAATGATTATCCAAATTATTATGTAACAAAATTCTAATTTTGGATACAAAGAACTCATCATTGTCTGTATTTGAGTTAGTATGTACTCCGTATAAATTTAGATATATAGTACTATCGTATATTTATCATATACTCCGTATAAATATCATTTATAAGTATTGTTAAAAGGAACTCGAAGAATTAGAAGAAACTAGAAAGAATTAAAAGAATTTAGAAAAAAATTAGAAAAAATTAGTTGGTCCATTATTTTTTTCTTCTTCTGAAGCAAAGAAAGAGGATATAAATTCTACTTATTTTCTCTCCTTATACTATAAGATTCCATTTTTTTCCGTTCGTCCCAAAAAATAGTTCTTGTTTTCCCTTTTTAGAAAAACATTTATGATCTTTCTAATTTCTCAAATATTCATCAATTGTAATCATATTATTTCACTTCTTAAATTTTTATGCAAAGTCAAAAGAACTCAAAGTTAAATTTTTTAAGACGGAAGAAATATTTTTAATCTAATCAAATCGCTTATGGACGGTACCTTTAACTATATTAAGATATGCATACAGGAATCACAACGACTTAAGTTTTGTTTCGTTCGAAAAATAAAATAAAACAAATTGTTTTTAAAGTAGGATGTGAGATCACATTATTTAATCACTTCATTATTGGAAAATGAGAAGGACAATAAGTCATGTTTAAGAAATTATAAGGACCAACCTGTTTAGGAAGTAACCAATAGGGAGGTGCCACAATATACCGTTTGATTTGCACGACATGTTAGCCAGTGATGGAGACTTTTCACGATTGATGAGTCATTGTAGTACGATATTTAGAAAGAATTTTTTGCGTCATTTTCCTAATTCTTTATAAAATATTGAGTTCCTACAAAAATCAAGTGCATGTTTAAGTAGATGTCCATGAAACGTGGTATATGCGGTTATACGAGGCAGGTTCGGTCCCGAAAAATAAAAAAATAAAATGGGCCCGGTTCTAAATTTACGTTTTAGGCTTTATTTTATTTTTTATAATATTTTTCTTTTAAAATTATTAACAAATTTAAAAATATGGAGTCCTAAAATTTTTGGGATGCGGTTGGCCACTTTGCACACCCTCCGGGCCACCCATGATACCAGGTATAACAAATAAATATCCAGTTACTCGAAAATAAGTATTTAAATAGATGTACGTAAAACATTATATATCCGGAAGTAGGCAAATACTATAGTGGATATAAGGTCTACCATTGACTTATATATGAACAAAATAAACATTTCTTTACTACTTAAATAACTAAATAAGCATTAATTTTTTAAAAAAATAAAAAAATAGGTGAAAAGATCTACAAAAATGAAATGCACCAAGGTGTATCAAATAAATTCTCTCGATAGTCATTACATTACCAAATAAATTTAACATCAATAACTAATTTTACGTTGTACGTACAACCTTTCTATTCTTAAGTAGTGTAAACTCGTGTCGACATACCCTCAAAGCTAGATACTCCCTCCGTCCCAAATTATTTGTCACATTTCTATTACCGAGGCAAAATATCAAGTTTTTTCAATTCATTTTATTTACATATTGGTAAAGAAATAAAAAATAAAAATTACATATCAAAAAACTACATGAAAAGTTCTTCGAAATAAGAGGTGTCAAGAATACTTTATTTTATCAAATAACCAATGAAAACGTAGAAATAAACAAAAGTTCTCGCGACTGTTGAAAAAGCAAATGTGGCAAATAATTTGGGACGGAGGGAGTATTACTTATTTGGGATAATATTGGTGTCCTTGTGGTCTAATTTAAAAGTCTAGTTTTTAAATATCAATTTTTTATAAGGTACTTCTAGTCTAGTATTTATACTCCCGTATATATTAATAATTAAAGTATAACATTAGAGTTTGTAAAAAGTCAAATTATAAAAAAATTGGAAACAAAAAGACTTTATTATATACTACTTCCGTCTATGAGTATTTAATTTGTCTAATTTTGACTTTTTTACAACTTTGACGTATAATTAAACAAGATATATATTATATACCCGTCATGAATACCCGAAAAGTGACGTTCATGGATTACTCGGTATCTTATTTTATATTAATAAGATAGAATAATATTTTAAAAAACATTTTTATAAAATGAATCTAATTACATTAAACTATATTTGTATTGGATGGTGTCAAGGAACCAACTCCCGTGAAAGTGATGGGTGAGAGTATAACCCATACCATTCAGGACTTACTAGTCCGGCGGGTGTTAGAATATAAATAACTGTTCACTAAGAGGTCACGGGTTCGAAACTCAGCGCCACCCAGTTTAAAAAAAATTAAGGTTTCACGTGCAAGGCTCGAAAAAGACTACGTCTGCACGCGAGGGGGCGTGTTAGAATATAAATAATTGTTCCTGGGCTACAACCACAAGCTCACCCACAAGCTTGAGCTTGTGGTTGAGTTGGTTCTTTGATAGCGGGTACCATGCAAAGGCTTAGTGTACGTATATGGTAATCCAAGTTTTTCCGGATGCCACCCACATCTTTTCTAGTCTCACCCATGAGACTAGCTGAGACTAGTCTGAACCACTATGTGATGCACCTACATATAACTATTTACAACTATGAGTATGTATATATCTACCTATATTTTTATGCAATTTCGTATTCTCTTGTTAGAGTTACAACTCAGCTTTATGCTAAGCGTGTAGTTTGTCACTTTACACCAGGTAGGAGCGATGAACTTGGAGCCAATCTTGGAGGTCGATGAGAGTGAAGAGATGTACGGACGGACAGATGTTGATTTCCTTTATTGTTTAAATAACTTTACCTTTTCGGCTTGAACCCAACATTCTCGCACTTCTAAATTTGGTTAGATACTTTTAAGCTTCCACACCGAATTATATATGTTTTACTCCGTTATATTTTCTTGAATTGCTTTAAATTGATTTTATTAAAGTTATTATTAAAAGAGGTTTTAAATTAGATGTCCTAAAATACTATTTTAGTAACTACTCTGACTCGTTGGGTTGTAGATACGTGGGTCTTACGAGTTGGGTGTTACACCACACTTTAGTAATGGTTAGGTACCTTATTTAGCCTCCTCCACTCTATATATATAGATTGTAATAGAGGGATGAAGGATCATTCAATCATTCTCACATAAACATGTACACTCTTAAGATAGAGTAAGAAATATATGTTTGGGCACAATAAATCTTTCATGGTCTAGGTCACTCTTCTGTTCTTACTTACGTGTGTTTTCCTTATATCCAGTGGAGTCTGTTTAACCAGGTAAGACCTAGCCAAATCTGCGCAGTCAATTCAATTTTACACCATCACTATCAGTTTTTAATACGGCGTATCACTTTTATTTAATTTATGATCACATCTTTTTAATTTTGAACAAACAAAAATTAAAAGTGGACAATATAATATAATAATAATAGGAAGGCCAAAAGTGGACACATTTCATGTACAACAGAGAACACATGCATATTTGAAGAGCTATATGGAGATTATTTCATTCCAATATACATACTCCATTTCCCTCATGCACCTAAGCAATGTGAAAGAATAAGCAGAAAACCAGCTGAGCTTCACTCCTAATAAGCAAGTCCACAAAGCTACAAACTGGCTTCTGAAAACCTCTCACATGAATAATAAAGTAAACTAAAAATAAACGCACTCAATAAATAATTAACTGGCGAAGAAGATTCCGGGGATGTATTTATAATGAATATAATCAACCACCCCACTGGTCAATCTCCTCCGATCCATTCCAGGAATCTGGGACGACCTGCTATTTAATCTAAACCTGGAAAGCCAAGTCCATGGCGTTGATGAATGTGCCATGGAAGCCATAAGGAACCCTTGATGGCAGCTTCACAGTGGCCTCCAGATCTAATGTCTGGGCATTCACAATTTGCAATTCTGAACTCCCCGCCTTCTCGTCGTGCGAGAAGGCCAGGATGTGCCCCGCGTCTTCCTCCCCATCCGCGGCGGCGGCCGGCGGCAGGAACAGTGGCTCGCCTCCGTACTTCTCCTCTCCGTACATGAATTTCATCACTTCTCCGGTGAACAAGTCCACTTTTGCAAAGCCGGAGACTTTTGGCCACGGCTCTGCTATGGCCAGATATGCGTACCTGGTTCGCCTCCCCAGCTTGTTCCTGTTCACCATCCCGGCCTCTAGATTCAATTGGTACTGGTTTTGGATGATTGCTCTTCTCGTGGACTTGCCCGTCTTCAGATTGAGTCGAATTTCGGACAAAACGCTCTTCAATTCGGCTTCCCTCTCGTTGAAGATTGAATCCGGGGGAGTCATACATGACCCGATGACCACAACCTCCTCTGTTTCTGGTTCTTCCCATGCGTTCCAGAGGTGGAAGCAGAAGCAGTCCGGCACTTCCACCCACTTCATTTCTGAAGAATCTTTGGCGTATTTGTTGAGGACTCCGAATCTTGCCACTTTGTTATTGTCGTACACCACCGGCGATCCTCCTCCGACCATCTCGGATATCTTGAACACCACTTGCTGGTCGGGGACGACCACGAATCTCTCCGTGATTGCGAAATCATGCATCATTGTGGGGTCCCGGACTGGGATTTCGATGTCGGGTGATTTTCTCCCCGACTTTGAAAACCAGAAGTACTTCAGGTACGGGGCCTGGATCACGTCGTAACTGAGGGCGAAGAGCTCGCCGGAAACAGGGTCGAGCTTCGGGTGCGCGATCATGGAGGATTTGAGTTCGCCGTTGAAATCGTATCTCCCGACGGTTTTCAGGTCTCCGGAGGGCGTGACCCTCACGTGGTACGGCAAATCGTCTTCCGACATCGCCAGCAAGCGGTTGTTGAAGTAGACCAAGCCGGCGTTCGCGACTCCCGTGCCTTTACTCCCGTCGACGAGGCCGAAAAGCCCGCGAGCGTAGAAGAGCATCAGCCTAGCGATCCCGGTGTGGCCGTGAAGTTCTCCGATGGCTTTTGGGAAAACCGGCCTCCCCAAGGCCCGTTCCTGGACGAACCTGTGTGTCTCCGTGAACCGGCACGCGTAGCTGACGGCGCCGTTCTTGAACCGGACGGCGTGAATCATGCCGTCACCGTCAAAGAAGTGGTGGCCAGCCACAGGGGCGTGGAGGGGATTCGCGCCGTTCCGGACGTACACGCCCTGTATGCACTCCGGGATCTTCCCGGCCACCGGAACTGCTTGCCGGACGGGCTGTTCAGGCACCGGAGCAAAATTACCAGAAATCTGAACCTTGGGGTCCGCCGTTTTGGGGAGAGTCTGATTGAGCTCGTGCTCTGTTAGCTTCTCCTCCACGGCGTCCAAAGCCATTGCCGCCACCCTCTGAAAGAAATTCCACCGTTGAGGCGAAGAAGAAGGAATTTCCTCCCGCGGGCATGATGAATTTGAGGAAGAAATGGAAGATTGGTTGGGAAAATGGAGCAAAGGAGTCTGCAGGGAGCAATTAATCTTCAAATTTCTTTTACTGCGTCTGTGAGGAAGAAATGGAAGTTTAGAAGAGCCAAAGCCTCTTGATGAGGACGGAGATGTTATACACAAGTTGGGTTTAGGCAAGGATTTTGTAGTAGAGAAAGTGGCCATGACTGCCTATTTTCACGAGAGCTCACCAGACACAGAGTGTGGGGGAGTTTGCGAGGACGAGGATGAAGAGCTCGGATGATTTTATAGTACTTCTTCTCCATGCTTCAATTTCAATCATTAAATCCATGAAAGAAATTTATTCCGAATAGAATTTAAATGTAGGCCGTTCTTTACAATTAAAATCATACTCCGTAAATTTTTATTTCTCAAATAAAACTTAATTAACTTTTTGTCTCTTTCGTTAATTTTAAGGCAAACAACTTTTTATTTATTCACGTGGAGGGGGATAACAAATTAGGAGGCCAACCCTCCCAAACATCACATTGATCCCCACCTATTCTAGCGAAAGAGTGAGCAACACTTTTAACGATGAATAAAATTTAACAAAAAAATGTTCAAAAGAAAAAAATAAAAGCACAACCGTCCTCAAAAAGTGGACCAAAGTATATAGGAAAATATGAACCCTCAACATTAATCAAAGCATTGATAAGTGGTAAATCTCCACCACTCGCAAGCCACGTGTCAACTACTACCAAAGACCTTCCTTACATACTTCCTCCGTCCCCTTTTTTATTACAATATTCCCTTTTTGTGTGTATTAATAATAAGTCACATCACTTAAAAATTCCCCAAACTACCCTCTAAATTCATGTATTGGTCATCACGTGGGAAGAGCTCAAACTTGGTTTAAGTAAAGCAAATATGAATAGTACATCACTGTTTACATCATTGAGACTACATACTCCATACTGGGACAATAGAGGGAAAAGTAGAGCCAAAAAATTCCAAAAATTTTAGTTCCCTCCTAAATTTCACTTATTATAAATAACTACATTTACTACTGACTTTCCCCATCAGATTTTTTTCTCTACAGACCCTTTCCTTTAATGGATTTGCCTTTATTTCCATTTGATTTGAATGAAGTTCCGCCATTGTCAGCATCGGAACATGCAGCTTTTGAAGGTGTTTCTTTCCCTACGTCTCCCGAAGCAGCCGTAACCGAACTCCTCTTCAATGGACGTCGAGCTCAAAACAATCCAGACCCCGGGGCTGGACGTCCTTCAGCTGCAAGTCTTGCATATCTTTCAGCTCCAGCGACTGTGCACACCGGGCATAACACGTCACCTGCAGAACAAACAGAAGAAACCCAACAGCAGACGCGGAGCAAGCCAAGGTTGTCAATGGAGGTAAGAAAATGCATAATTGACGTTTTATTATCAACATCTACGAATAACAAACTTCAGCGGGGGGTCATTCAAGCACTGGTAGAAGAATATAACACGTGTTATAAGACCATATACTTGATGTGGTGTAAAGCTAAAGAACAAATGAGACAAGGACTGCCCATAGATGTACAAACAAACATGAAAGGATGTGTTGGTAGGAAAAAGTTGGATCTTGATTTAGAACAGCTTGCTGAAGTTCCTTTATGCAAAAGGAAAAATTTGAGGGCAGTGGCAAGCCAACTTAAGGTGTCAAAAACAACTGTGCACAGGCTCTTAAAAAGGAAGGAGATAAAGCGTCACTCAAATGCCATAAAGCCACTTTTGACACCCATGGGTAAGTTAAAAAGGTTAAGGTTTTGTTTAAATAACTTAGTGCCTGATACCATTCCCATGAACCCTACATTTCATCACTTCTATGATCATGTTCACATTGATGAGAAATGGTTTCAGTTAAGCCAAGAAACAACCACCTTTTACACCTTACCAATTGAGGATGACCCATATAGAACCATACAGTCAAAAAAGTTCATTCCAAAAATCATGTTTGTGGCAGTAGTGGGGAGGCCAAGGTTTGTGGAAAGTGGTGAAACTTTGTGGGATGGGAAGGTTGGATTTTTTCCCTTTACATATGAGGAAGCTGCCAAAAGAAACAGTAAGAATAGGCCTGCTGGAACACTGGAAACAAAGCCAGTAGATGTTGTAAACAGGCAAGTAATGAAGGCAATGATGCTTACTAGAGTCATACCAGAAATAAAGTCTAAGTGGCCTGATGCTCATAACAAGCACATTATCATACAACAAGATAATGCAAAACCACATGTTGACCCAGCTGACTCTGAAATTGTACAAGTCTGTCAAGAGAATGGTTGGGATATTAAAGTGCAATTCCAGCCTCCCAACAGTCCTGACTTAAATGTTTTGGACTTGGGATTCTTTAGAGCTATTGACAGTATCAAAGATCAAAAAGCTCCAAAGAATGTCAAAGATTTGATCAGTGATGTGGAAAAAGCCTTTGAAGAAATGACTCCACAAAAACTGAATAGGGTGTTCTTAACCTACCAATGTTGCATGGAAGAGATTATAAAGCAAAAAGGGGGTAACCAGTATAAGATTCCACATATGGGAAAGGATAGGTTGGAGAGAATGAACCAGTTACCAGATAACATTCAAGTTAGGATGGATGATGTTGTGGCTGCTCAGAATTTCATAGCATCAGAAGGTGGTTGGTGAAAGGTCAGATTATATCCTTTTTGTGTTTTTGCTACTTGTGTGCAATGCTGTGAGGACAAGTACTTATCTAAGTGTACTGTCCATCTTCAAATTTTGCTTTTTGGGTTTTTGGGTATGGAATTTATGTATGTACATCAGAAGTGGGGATAGGATACTTTTAAAATCCATCCCCTTTTTTTTGCTTTTTGGGTTTTTGGGTATGAAATTTCTGCATGTACATCAAAAGTGGTGCTATGGAATTGTAGTAATGCAGTCTGTATGTTATGAATGTAGTCCAGACACAGCCAGAACACCATAACACAGAACTTAGGTAATTTGCCATCATAGATCTCAGGAATGAAGATGTGGATTATTGTAATCCATTTGGGATAGGGTCATCACTGACCTCAGGCAAATTTAAATCAGGGACAGGTTATACCTGAGGGAATATTGTAATCAAAATGGGGAATAAGAGAGGATTAGTGTCATGAATTATCTTAGGAAAATGCAAAGAGTAGACACCTTATACCTCAGGGCCAATACACAAACAACATTGAGTGTGGTAGACCTCAGGGCAAAGTGACTAAAATTTTGCATATAATAGCACATCATATATGGGAAATGGGGATTATCTCAGCAAAAGCAGTATTTATTGCATCATGGGACCAAAACACTTAACACTTAATGGGACAGGGGCAATGAACAAGCACTACCAAAGAACTCAGCAAGCAGACATAGGGACCAAGACATCAGGATGCATCACAGTTCTTACACATCCTCCCAAATAAACATGAAAACAAATAAGGGCTATCACAGATCAATCATTATGTTCCTAGCACCACCACAATTCTACAGGTCAAATATACATGCAATTCTTTTATCCCAGTACAGAATTTCAAAGCAACACCCCCATATCATCATTAGTCACAACAAAAGTTACCACTTTCCGGTCATGCGCATGAAATAAATAAAAGGAGAAATCATACCACATGGTTCCAGCCAAGAAGGTCTTTTTGGAGGGTCATCCATGAAAAAATATTCAACGCATGTCAATTTGGTCGGGTCATACACAGAGGTTACCTCTTCCCCTTCTTCGCTCGAAAATCCCTCTTCCGTGTCTTCTACAACCAAACAATTGTACTTCTTTCTGTACCTCCACGTAGGGTCTGTTTCAGACGTGTATGAAGGAGATTCAAAGGGAAGCACGCTGGTATTTTTGTTTTCAGAGATATCAGGGGATCTAGATCTGGATCTAGATCTTGAAGGCGAATCCTGTGATAAGAGGTGAAATGTTGGAATTGATGGATCTCGAGCCATTGCAGAAGAGTTACGGAAGAGAGAAGAGGAAGACTGAAGAAGATGGAGGAGAGTAATGAGGGGATAGAGACGAAGAGGTAAGGCGGAAGTTTCGAGGAGATATGGGACGGGTGGTTCTGAACGTGGGAGGGGTATATTGGTAACATTTATGGGTAAATGTTACCAAATTTAATTTTTGTAATCTATTTTGGGACACATAGATGAGGGAATATTGTAATCAAAAAGGGGACGGAGGGAGTATAATTCTTTAAGCTCTTCTATTCCTAATGTATTATCTAAGAAACATGTACATCAAAGGTGTACCCATATGTCTCCTACCCCCTCCTTGTCCATATAAATTGGCAAGAAATTCAAAAAAAATCGAATAAAAATGAGTGGTGGAGAATGGGGTAGTGTACATTTGGGGTACACCTTTGGTGTACCCTTAGCATTGCTCATTATCTAAACCTGGAGATAGTTCCGGTCTCGAACTCATAACGAGATCGGCAACACCTCATCAATCCTACTAGCTCTCTTATCTCTACCGTCCAAATCCTCCAATTCTCTCATATCAAATATTCTTAATTCATAACTATAATATTCTTATTATTTATATTATAAACTTATAATAATATAATATATTATTGATATTTTAAAAATATAATATAATCCTATTATATAAAAATATAATGTTAGTAATTATTCATATCAAATTCTATGTTTTTTAAATGGAGTCTGAAGCTATGTCGATATGCAGAATTTGAGCCAAAACACCAAAAAAAAGGAAAGAAAAGAGATTTCAATAACACTTCAACTTCCGCTGGTATAATCTCCCACCAGAGGTAATCCATCTCAGATGTCCTTAAAAATATCTCAATGATGCCATGGACGACCGTGAGTTCATCGCATATATGGACCTAGTCACGTCTCAACACAAATATGAATTCCATCAGCGAGGAAGAGATGGTGGAGTCAATTCTCGAGATTAACTCCTTGAATGGTTAGAGTTTTAAAATTGCCGATTTTCGTTATGGATTAGTTATGGTAGCACCTAAGGATGGTACCATCACCGATACCGCTAACTGGGGGAAAAGGTTTTGGTTTTAGAACCAGACAGACCCAGCACATCTTGATTCTAATCTCATTGATTTCATCTACATTCTACGTTATATACATATACACACACACCGATTTATATATATATATATATATATGTAATCATTTTGGTGCACCTAATTTTGATGCAATCTTGACCATTAGATTTCACAATCTAAAGCATTAGATTCATTCTTATTTCTTTTATAAGATCGCATTCTCACCGGAACCTATATATATATATATATATTTATGAGAGCCAAGTACTTTAAACACAAGGAATTCAAAGAAAAACTTTATGACTCGCCAATTTGGAAAAGGATTTGCAGAACTCACATCATTGCCTCAAATTATACCATTGAAACTGGTGATCAGATTGCTTGGCTAGGTGGAGAGTTCACTCTTAGAAAGGCTTACCACATTTGTAGAAAAGCCAAACCAACACAAATTAACTACACCTACTGCTGGAATAAAGAGCAAATCCCCAAGATCAAATTCTTCCTTTAGAGAGTTATCAATTCACTACTGCCTTTTCCTGAAAAACTTAGGACAATGGGGGTTCACCTTGCATCAGTTTGCCCCCTTTGTATGACTAAGGAGGAATCAAAAGACCATGTCTTGTTCCAGTGCCAATGGAGCATGTACCTATGGAATTTCTTTTCAGGGGCTGTTGATGGACCAACCCCTAATGTCACCTAAACCTAAATCAACACCTTTTGGAATGGAACCTATCACACCGAAGGAATAATCTTAAAGGACAATTGAGAGGTATTCTCCCAGGGATTATTGGGTGGCATATTTGGAAAGAATACAATAGAATACTTTATGATTCAGACTCTCCAAACATTACCAAGGTAAAAAAGGGAATACTTGTAACTCTCATAGATTGGAGTTGGAAGAAGAGGAGGAAAAAATGGATGATTATGGATGAAAAACTCACAAACCTAGGCTTTAATCGGTTCTATCTGTCTGGGAAGGAGATTCATGGCGGTAGGGCTTTCTCTCAGCGACCGGTCGATTTGTAGAGCTTGGTGGAAGGTTCCTTCAAGTAGAGGGGTGGGAGGAGTGGTTGACGAGAAGAAGAAGAAGAAGAAGAGGGAGATCTGCTGTCTGGGTCTTTTTTTGACTTTCTTGCTTTTGTCCTTCTCTTTTCCCTTGTTTGTCCTACTTTCGGGGCTTCGGCCTCGACCTTACCCCACTGATTTTGGTTGTTTTTTCCGGGTTAAAAAAATATATATGTGTGTGTCTATATATAGATATGTGTATGTATGTATGTATGTATATATGTATGCATGTATATGTTTATCATCTTCTTCCTTGGGTCCATTTCCAAAATTATCATTTTAAGTCACCACACTTTAATTAAACTATATAGATATGTTCTTGAAGTTTCAAAGATCATTTTTGTATCAATATTTCGAAGTTTTAACAAAAAAAAATCAAAGTTTATGATTCTTGGTTATTCAAGCATGTCAAACACAAAACTCAACCAAACGACCGTTTATGAACGTAGAAACAATCTATACAAATATTCTAATCACTAGATATATCTAAAGGGTTACCTCAAATGAAAATTGAGGTTTTGGAAATCTTCTGGTAAAATTTTTGGCGACCTCAAGTTCTCTAGGCAACACCATTAAACCCCCCTTACACTCTCAAGAACACAATAGAAGGAAGAATGGAGATAATTTGTGAGAAATTGAGGGAGAAGAGGTATGCTTATATAGTGGGAAGGGGAAGAAGAAAACAATGGAGTCCTCTGTTCTCTTTCATCATTCACGATCGTGGGAGGGTGACTCGGTGATTCTCACGTATATAGTGGGCCAGCCGTAATAGAGACCCCATTCAGGTCCTCCTCCTCGTCATCATGCTTGACAATTTGCACGGGGCAAAGTTGGTGTCTCGTGTGTATCTCTTGAAATAGACAAAATAAAAAAATATCTTAACAATCATAAACATCACTAGAGACAAAAAATTGTCCTGTTCTAGGATATCCAAAAAAATATCTTAACAATCATAAACCCTTTCTTTCCGCGAGGATATCCAAGAAAATTTTTTGGATTACTTCGAGTCGCAAAATATCACCATCCCTCTTTTGATGATGAGAATAAAATTTAATTTGCATCCAAAAATACATAAATGTGTTAATACAAGTTCCTTCCCATTTAATTTTTCGTACAAAGATACCCCCCTAACAGAGAAGAGGGTGCTAGATTAATATAGTAGTCTATTGTTTGTATACAGTCTCCCCAAAATTTAATATGTAAACTTACCTGAAAAGGAATTGCACGAGCCATATTTAGAATATGAGGGTGATTTCGTTCATCCCTCGCATTCTTCCTTGGAGTCCAAACATAAGAGGTCTCATGCACCATCCCATTAGTGCAAGAAAAAAATCTTTCTAAAACTGACACTCAGCACCATTGTCACTTTAGACACATTTAATTTTCACCCCACATTTATGTTCAACCATTGCATTAAATTCCATAAAGAGAGTCCCACTTTTCTTTTGCAATTAAGTAAATATACCCAAACTCCACACGAATAATCATAAATAATAGCCAAAAACATTTTAGAACCATTCTGTTTAGGACAATGATATGAATCCCATAAATCACAATGCACAATATCAAAACTTGCTTTATGTTGATAAAACTAATGGAAAAATTAGTACAAGGTTGTTTAGTAGAAATACACAAATGTCACAACTCTTATTTAATTTGCTATTCCTACTAGATCCAGCCATCGGAACTAAATTTGAAATATGTATGGATGGATGCCCTAGACATTTATGCCAGAGATCAAACACATTCTCTCTTGTTATAAAGTTCTCTATATTATTCACACACACCAATCAATGTCTCCGAATTGAACCTAGGTCATGTAATACACAAGACTTTCCTATAAATTGTGCTTCCCAATTGTTCTCCTTTGTCTATTTCGAAACTGAGATTAAATGACAACTGAAATTGGGGACAAATAAAACATTCTTTCAGAACAAAGTTTTGGTCAAACGAGTCATTTCTAACTAAATAGACATAATTTCTTTCCCATAAAGTAATCCAACTTCACCGGGAATAATAATAATAATAATAATAATATCATGATTTGATGCTCCTCTGTCATTAATCCATCTCTGAGGTGGAAAAATACGTGTTAATTTTTAGTTGAACCAAAGATGTTCAAAAATTGGGCAAAGATGAGGATGAATGAACACAGTTCATTCCAGTCCCATGAACGACGTGCACGACTACCGGGTCGGTGCCCGTGCCACTTCCGTGACTTTGGTCAGTCGTTGGTGGCGTACCATGACCTCCACGACCAGCCCACGCCCAGCTGTCCTTAAGCCACCGTTCGGTCCACTTCTACGACTGCTGCTAAAACCAAATCTTCTGGATAGCCGTGTAATATGTTGCATTTGTCAATGTCATGTCCTGGATTTTCGCAGTTGATACAAACAATTTCCTTTTTAGGATTGGTCCACAAAAAGGTTGATGCCTCTAAATCTCCATCCGCAATGTGGTTTGCATGACGTGTAGTTTTTGTCTTGGTCAAAATATTATGGAGTCGATTTACTGTGGGTAAATAATCACGTGACAAGAGTTGAGAACAAATGGATCCATATTGTGCTTCATCAAGACCCATCCAAAATTAATGGACTTCTTCGTCTTCCCTTTCCTTCAAGAGGGATGCATCGAGACTCGCCGCACATTTGGCACAAAGACAGTCAGGAAATTTGTCAAGTTCTTGTAAATCATCCAATAATTTTCTCATATTACCATAAAAATCAGAGATGGTAAGTCCTTTTTGTTTGCAATCCCTCAATTCACGCTTCATTTATTTG